TTCCACCGGAAAATTCACTGAATTTACATAATTGTGCGTACAAATTCCAAACTACCGGTTTTCCCCAGGCCCAGGGATTTCGCTTTGGTGGTTTATGTCGGGAAGAGACGATGGAGTGAGTTTCAAATCCCAGGAATAGTACATCGTACAACGGGCCAAACTCAGCCCTACACTCCAACCCTGAATCCTCCTCTATCTGTTATTCATTTTCTCTCTTCATACCAACTTTGCCATCTATCCTCCATCTCATTCATCCTATCCCTCCACAATTTGCTCCTCCAACTTGTACAGAGGCCCGTGGAATCGGAATTATGAATTATTTATACGAAAATGTTACGCTTTAAATATCCCGGGGTAATTCATCAGAGGAAAATTTGCACGTGTGGGCAAAAACCCGACTTATGAATTATCCATTATCGAATTCGTAATGAACCAAATTATACACATAGCTTATGTTTCATGCGATGTTGCACATGTTTGGTTGCATTCAGCTTAGGCATGCGTGTCTGGATGGATTGATGGAATTTTCAATTATTCCATGAAAATTAATAAAAATCCGGAAAATTCAGATTAACATAATAATTACAAATTAACTGAACACATAGTAGCCGTAGTCCATTGTTTCTTACCTTAAAGACTCTGGTAGCCATCACTTTCAGTTTCCATCAAGATCCTCGACAATAATCATCATCTGACAGCTGTCTCTTCTAGAAATGGGAAGAATTTCTGTCGCAAGTCTAATATCCCACAGCTCGAAGAGACAGGTAATGTTCGCCAGCTGAACCATTTTCTCCAGGTCGCTGTCACTACTAGTATTTCTGCTAGAAGTCTCCAGAGCCCCCTCGAGACCCAACCACTTCCTAGCGAAGCACGTCCCCGACAAGTTCATTCTCAACTTATTTATTATTAATAGATCATTCGTTCGTGAGCCCTGACTCAACTGCAGGATCGCAACACTTACGTGTCGTATGACATAAAATATTCATTCTCATTGCACATCCAGGAAGAAAAGAAATTCTAGATTAAGTCAGCCATTTCTCCCCCAAGTGTTTTTAAAAAACTTTTCCATGCACCTTTCCGTATTGTCACTGTACAATGCCATGGGAGAAAGTGCCAAAAGGGATGTGCGATAGTAGCTAAAGTTTCACTCCAGTGTTTTTGTACACCTTGGACTCATGATAGGAGCTCGAGCTCTTGGGGATGTGACCCGGTAGTGCACCCAGTTGCCTCGTTTTTAGAAAACTTAGCTCATACACATCCATGAAAAGAGTTTGGAGAAACAACTCCAGGTGGATGTTGATTTTTTCCATCATCTCCAGTTTCATTTTCAGATTGACAATCTCCAGGGAATGCAATTCACCTCTCACCAGCTGCCGAGGCAATTGAAAAAGAACATTAATGCACTTCACATTCCCTGCAAAATTGCAACTACGAAGAATACGTTATTGCATTATTCAAACGTCATCATCATGATTATTTCGTCGCCTCCACGAACCGACAACACGGGATGCAAACTGTGAAATGTGAGATGTCAGTCGTCACCGTAATCATACAAACATGAGATACCATACATCTCTACAGGTGTAGGAGAAACAGTATCCCATGGAAATCTAAATGCTAAAAAAGGCTGAAGGACCCAGAGATATCTTGTGAACTTTCGTATTACCATTTTGAGTGGATTCTGTGCTTCACCCCTTGATATCCTCACGGTACTTTCATTTTATTTTTTTCCCACCACCAATTGCGTTACCGCAATGAATATCTGACGATTGTTGAACAAAATGCCGAGTCCAACGAATGAAAAAATCTCATTGAAGTTTCAGCGGTATTTCACTGTAGTAGTTCTGAGGTCGATCTTCACAGCGATTCAGCACTGGTTTTCCCTCTCGTGCCCTCTCTTCCTCATTCTCATGAACGACGAAAGTTGAATTAAAACTCGTCGCTCGACGTAACCGTACCGAGAGTTTTCCTTTTGCCCGCAGACCAAACTCTCATCCTTATCCGCACCTTAACTCTCCTTTTATTCTCCTCTATTCTCAAAACCCATGGCTATTTGCATGAGTAAACCCAAACTTTTGCTTTTCTCGTTTTATGCTAATGCGATCCTCTCGCTGCAGCCAACAGCCTAGTCTACCGTCACAGTATCACTGACGATAAATTAAATTTGCGGTTGAAATTCAATTACCTCTCGTTAATATTTGATTATCATTATCACACGATGAGAAATGTTTTTTAGCTCTAGGTTTTGTTCAATTGTTTTGTCTACTTCCAAGAGATATTGAGCAGAAAGAAATATGCAAAGAGCAAATACAGTCGGTGGGGGATCACAAATCCGACAAAACGTATTCCAATAAATGCAGCAATGCACATAATTCTTGAATACGATCTATTACATTTCCCCACAGTAGTATAAATACCACTAATGTTCCTCTTCCGCTGAAGGACCGTAGGACCGAAAACCTTTAGGAACACTCACTATCGCGGAATACATAGCATGTTCAATAAATAACAGTCCATGGAATTTTCTTCAAAGACATAGGAATCCAACTGGTTTCAGAAGCAATATGTATTCCAGAGACATCCAGAAATGTCCATAAATACACATTTCTATGATGAACACACGGAAAGGATATGTGTACATAAAATTTGTAGTGGAAAAATCTCGAATGTATGCTCGAGACAATACACAAGGATTTTCGAACATGCGGTGGAGAAAGCGGAGGTCACGTTTTGCGACAGATATAAACGCGTGTGAGCAAACGTAAGTGGGATGTAAGGAGTGCAGAGAGGCCACCTTTCTTTATTCCGCAAGTTTTACAGCAACTTCCAACGCTTCGGAACGTTATGATTTTTTATTTATGGACCTTCTGCACAATAACGGAGAAATATAAGTCGAACGAGCTTCACTCGAGGATAATAGGCGAATAAAGTGTCTCAGAAATGAGGTTGTTTAGGGTTGTTTTGGGATCAGAGTCAATGATAATACTTGATAAAAATTGTAATGCCGGGTGAGAGTTAGAGAAAGCTGGTAAATATTTGCGCAAGGAATGAGGGGAATATATTTTCCATGGAAATTCTCTAACGATAGAAACTGATGAGAATAGATAAGTCGGTAATGAATAGAATTAAATCTTATTCGTGAGGTTTTCATTAGTCTATCCCACAAGTCATTAATTAATAAACCGTCCCAACCATTTTGATGTGGATATGTCTATGTTCTCATTATGGGGGGGGGGGCATTTAGGGAAAAAGTCCTTATGGTTCCTTATCGACAGTGGCGCCATCTATAGGACTTTGTAAGGACGTTTGTATGTGACGATTTCTTTGTGCATAAAATATGTTGTATTATTGAAAAGGTGCGAAGTCCTGAATTCTTCTAATATACCTATAGAAATATATAAAATGAAAAGCTATGATGTTCAGTGAAGGAAAGGGAAGACCATAGACGTATCCACGTAAAATTACGGCTCCATCAAAGATCCAGGAACTCGCAGATTTTTTATCAATTTGTGTTGTGTTATTTATTCACGGATCTACCATCATTGAAAATAATTTCAATGGAGGAAATGATCGACCGATCAATCAAAAAACCGTGAAAACGTTTGTCCAAATTACGTTCACCTGATATACCCTATCCCCGTTGGCATTGTCACAATTTCTATGAATTCAATTGAATGTTTTACTCACCATTCGAGTTCTCCAGTACCCCTCCAAGCGCCCAGCAAATCAAAAACAGCTGGTAATAAAATCCCGTCACTCCGTAAAACGAATAACACGTCCCTGTGATTTAAGGAGAAGGGTCAGCAGGATTAAAGAGTAGCCCGATGGAAGGTGGATCGGAATCCCAAAATGCACTCACCGTCCGACAACATTCGTTTCCCTCTTTTTTTTATACTTTTCATCCAGTTCTACGTGTTTGCTTTCCGAAATCGATGGGTCCTCGATGGCACTCAAGTAGGATTTTTACAAAGTTCCAGGGTCTGTGTAAACTAGTATGAATTTAGTTGAGGGTTCCAGTGGGGTCTTCAATGCTGGTACAGTGTGCCGGAAAATATGGGACCTGTCTGTTTGAATTATCGTTCCCGACGATACTAGAGGTGTATTAAAATCCTCTTAAACGGTCATAAATAACGCCTCGCTCCTTTTCCAAGCGACACCATAGTAGCTGAAATGACGTGGAATATGAACTACATTTTTTACAGCAACTTTATTACTCAGAATAATCTCTATACATTCTCTCTCGTTCATAAAATAGGTGTAATAAAGAATGTGATAAACTGTGCATGTTAAATCAACTAATGGAATTATTGCTTCCAGAGGATGTTTTCACTTACTTTCAGGTGGAGATGAAGATCCGACGGCTGATGGATATCACCTGATGGTAAGACACCGACGGTAGGTAGTTAACGTACTCCACTATTTGAGGCATTTTTCGCTAAATGTTGGCGGTGTTTTACACTTAAATTCCCCTTTATTAAGCCTGTCGTCTCAAAATTGATATTAATCCTCAGGCCCTTTTTAAGTGGGCCGGCTTAGCTTTGGGAAGTTGAGCAGTACTGAATGTGTTCACTAGAAGGATGGGTGGCCGCGAGGGAACACCTCTGAAGATTCGAATTTTTCGAAAGTTGGAAAAAGCATTAGGAATTAATATGCTGCTGGAAAAGTGAAATCCGTAAGAAACCGAAAGGTAATGGAACGGTTGAATAAAATAACTGACAGGATAATTTATCAGCAATCATTGTCTGCATGGTCGGCATTTTGCTGGTAATTTGTCGGCGAATGGCTATTGTAAGTCATCACTTACGGTTTCTTCTCGTCCACCGACAGGGATTCCCCCACGACTACAACCCTCCACCAGACTGCAATTCCCCTGGTTGTGTACACAGATGTCGACAACCAGTCTATCCGGTAAAATCCAGTAACCCTAGCGCGCAAGACAGACTGCGCACTCCCATTGACCGTGTAGAAACCCTCGTACATCCAATAGTAATCCTCGGTGCCTTCGACAAGACCGAGTCACCCGAGACCAGTATTCGTTGTGTCTCTCGTTGAAAATTTCATTTTTCACCCTGCACTCCGTGTTTTTTTTTTTCAAATTTAATTGTAGTCCATGACATACTGAAACAAAAGATATCAATTGTATCAAGACAAAATAAAATCGTGTGATATATCACTGACTCAATCCGTCAAATATCGAAATAATAATCGGTGAAAGGGAATTTAATAAAACGCACCTGGTGTTAGTCATCTGAGGAACATAAAATTTTTAAGCTGCAACTGTTCTTCGGCCCTGCGGGTCCTCGACGATCCAGCAATAGTTTTCCATCCGCTAAATTTACCAAATCGACCAGGTATGAAAAATAAAAAAAAAACATTATTTAGAAAAGATTTTGCCGAGTGAGTTTGACAGACTAGAACTGTCACTCAAGAGCAACGAGCGCTCGGTGTGCATTAAATAATAATCATTCTCAGGGCCAAGTTTGTCGTATACATGTGCAGACGCGTGTCAACGCTTTTGTGTTTTCATTATATCCTCAAGCACCATTTGCAGGCGTGAAAAAGAGAATGGTTGAAAAATTTCCTAGAAAAAAAGAGAAAGAACATTCGATCGCTTGACACAACGGGCTCTAGGGTTAACCTCGATTCCACTGGAGGGTTTTACGGGTGAAAATCAATACACTAACCCTACCCAGGGTGTACTTTTGCGCGTTGTCGTCATATACATGTTTTTGTTACATACGTTATTACCGTAGGAACGTTAACAGATATTATCCTAGTGTGGAATTGTCGACTATGTATTGTGTACAGTAGGGAGTTGAAATCGTGCTCGGACTATAACCCAAGTAAAAGAGGAAGCAAACGATTTCCCGCGTCCGGAGAAATCGATAGTGGGTAACCAGACGTTGGGGATAGGAGCGCGCACGAGACCGTTCGCCTGTTTGTCGCCAGGGCCAGCAACAAATTTATATTCGGTTGTAATGTCAATGTCGAATTATCGCGGTATACCTCAAATTTTGAGACAACTTTTTTGGATTAATGATGATCGAATGAAGGAATTTATCCAGATTTTTCCGAGCCAAGAATTTTTTAGATCATTCGCGGTAAACCTGAAGAGTCAGAGCTCATTCCTGGAGACCTATCGATCGTCGAGTCACATCGATTCACGTTATATTAAGCCACTATTGCTTTCAGCAGAAGTAATTTTATTCCACTGATATCATTGCTGCTCCGATGATTAAAGGAAAATGAACAAAATACTCTTGGCATTCCGAAATTGTAATCAATCAAGAGTTCATTGATTCGGGATGAATCATTATCGAAGAATGTATTAGATAATCAAATATGAATCACAAAAAAACTTCGAAACTCATTACCCAAGAAACACCCTAAAATCTCGATAATCGTATCATTAGTCTTGTGTACACAGTGGAATCGTGCATGGCTTGCGAATTTTCGGCATGACGACGTGTGCATGAGGACTGTTATACGTTCAAAGTAGCTAGATGAGAATATACATAGTATAAGTGAGAATATGCAATCTGCATGTTTGAACAAGTACCAAGGGTGTGAGGTTGAAAGGAGCGCTCTGAGAATTTTCCCCAAAAATTTCAAGCCAAAAGAAAGACGAGATTTGTCTCACCTGAAGTAAAGAAAGACTCCTGACCTTCTCCACACGCGTCTCCAGGGACTCCAGTCATCTGTGCAGATCCGAGTGAAATGTATCGCCTCTACAACAGAAATAAAATCAAATGAAAAGCAATGATCCAGATGGTCTCCTTTGAGCCTCACTGCATCCATTTCAAATATATTTACCTTCATTTCATTGAGTTTTCCATTTCTCTTATGTTTCCATTATTTATTTTGGCTTGACGTATTCGGCTTAACGGTCACGCCCGCACCAGTGTGCGCACACAGCATCAAAACCAATATCTTCGCACTCAGTTTGCGTCAACGTAGGGAGAAAAGAGAGCGAGAGAGAGAGGGAGAGGTTTTCACAACTGAGACATCCACCTCCACCATCAGCGACAAACGTCCGGCCTCGGCACTCTATCACAAGTCGCAACACAAGCAGCAACATTTGTACATAGTTAACTGAATCATCTCCATCAGCACCATAAACATTTGATAAAGCAAGAGGGTGCCGCAATGCCGGCAGGTATCGGCGCTTCGTACAGGTCATTGGGTGACCTTGGTGAGGATGTTTACAAAAGTACAACAATCGTTGAACAAACGCAGACGACATCCCAGAGTGTTCTGGAGACTGTCAAAAAAGCATTTAGCTTTGCATCGCCAAAGGTAGAGCTCAGGAAGAAGGATCCACTCATTAGCGACAGAAGGGAGAGTATCTCCATCGTAACGAGGTACGTAAAGCTTGTTCCTCTCGATTGGATCGTCTCTAAAACTCCAATGATAATCTGATTGGCGAAACTGGTGGTTTGCTTTGTGTGTGATCTGGGCCAATGGGGCGGTGCAATTTCTTTTTTAATTCGTAAATCGCGTGACACTATCCGGCACATCGATCTGCTTTGAAATCGTTTGTGTGCTGCGATCGTAGATAAGGGGTCAGCTTGGACTTCAGGGACCGGAAGCTGATACTGCGGTTATCGATCGACTCTAGAGGCTTTTATATATAAAAAGGCGGTCATCAGGTAAAGAACTGTATGCTAACGTATCAAGTGCATTAGCTTATTTACACATTTCATAACACATGTAGAAATATTGGTGTCTGCATCTCGTCTTGGCTTCACTGCTTTTGTTATCCAAACGTATGAGCCCTATTACCCTGTAGTCAGTGTTGTTTGAGGTGGTATAATCGTAGATTTTGATAGTCGTGATGAGGCCTCAATGGAAGAGTGGGACAATGCCGTTTGCCAGCCGATAGTGTTATTATTTGCCGCCATTTTGTTCTAGGGAAAGAACCAAGATGCCGACTGCAGCGACTACTGCTGAGGAATCAGCACTCCTCGGGTGAGTACTTTATTTTCAGGGTTTATCAGTTAATTTTAAGATTATATTAACAACGAGAGAGAATAATATAGAGACCTGCCAAATATTTACTTACGAATGCCATTTTTCTTATGCTAGAGAATGATAATTCAATAGAATAGTTTTACTTGAACCGTAGTTAGAGGTAAAATCATCATTATCAGTCCTTAAACATGTTGACGAGGATGATGAATTGGGCTATTACAATTACACTCGAGCACTGTTGCGTAGACTTGATATCATCATCATCATCATCATCATCATCATCATCATCATCATCAGACTGACATTCTCATGTAAACTCGGCTTGACATATTAACAAGAGTATAGACCAAGTTTTCAGAACTTTGGCGAAAGGTTTGGAAGAATACATCATGGGTAATCGGTTGCAGAATGTGTACGATCGATGTCCCTCCTTTTCCAGGGGGAAAAAATGAGCCAGTAAACGATGATGGGTGGAGTTAAATATGGTCAAGAATATTCCCCCGATGTTTGTATATAAAAATAATATGGTAGAATGTAATCACATCAGTGGGCTGAGGGAAAATTGTTGGGCTGGGAAAATGGGAAAGGTAAATTGATGACCTCAATAGCGAAATAGTCGAGCCAGTGGGCTTGTCAATACTCCCATTGTACATTCCATCGCGATAATTATGAGTTTCTTCGAATGAGTCATCATTGTCTTGGCCCCCATGGCTGCCATGGATATTCCTCCCAATTCATGCCAATCCCAGACCGCTTCAAGACGAGTTGAATAGACCAGAGACGACTTGACCGGGTTTCAGATAATTGATTCAAGTAATTCATCGCTGGAGGGAGGGGGTCAAAGGGCTATTATTCACGTCCCCCAACCGGAAGATATCTCCAGTGTCCGCAAACACTCAAACGCACTGTTTCTATCCGTCTACAAAGGACGGGTTACGTAACTGAACTTGAAGCGCCTTCTGAAAGCTATATAATACGTCGTCTCTGTCTGTTGTTTCATCGGGGGCAGGATTATGGAGTCCCACTGTGGTGCATGCACTGAAAATTCAGTTCTCCATGGTGTGTAGCAACAATTGGCGTCATTCAACCGGTGATTAACGGTTCAACGTTAATTACAAACTTAACTGAGGTAGAAGTGGAGGATGGATTTTGTGAGATTGAGGGCTTGCGTAGGGAGAAAACGACGCAACAGCTTGACGTTGAGGGGTATTTATGAAGATTGCAGTAAACGTGATTATTACTTGGGTCAATGGTTCCCTGATTTTGAGAAGGTCCGATGAAATCCGTTGATTATAGAATATCACAGGTTGACGAATCATTTAGTCTTCTTGTTAGAACTCTCATTGCACCTGAATTGCGTCATTCGTTAACAGTTCATTTGTACTTTAAAATGAATCTCTATTTTCCTCGTAAATGTATCACCATATTGCTAATTCAAACTATTCCCTCTTGCATTGCATCTTCACTCTGGGATTAATTTATGAAATGGCTTCAATTACGGGAGGTCACTCCTCCAGTAATGAACCATGCATCAGTGAATAGGCAAATGGACAGGAAATATCGACTTTAATATGGCTGGTAATTCCTCCACTGATCCAATTACCTCACCCAGTCTTTCACTGACGCATTCAGCCCAATCCCTGGGGCAGAGTTCCAAATTAGTGATGGTTTTGATAGAATTCTCCTTTCAATGATTAATCCAGTAATGTCTTCATCCCACCATTGTTTTCAAGGAAGATTAATCAAAATCCAATGGGCAGTTGTTTTTTCTTTCCATGAAAATTGATCCGCATCGCTAACGTCTCCTCACTTTTGATTGAATCGAGTGCGTGTCACGCAGACCGTAATTCCTCGATGATCCCCGACGATTAAAGCCACCAATTAACGACGATATTAATCGCAATTTGATGCCATTAAATTGAGCCGACACGTGAAACCCACGGGATATCTCCGCCAAGGTTTATAGCGTCAATGTGACGATTATAAACTCCATCAAAATCCAAATTTAGATGGGCACCTGTTTCTATCGATGATTGCAATCAGATGCAGTAACTAATCTCCACGTACACCTGCGCAAAACTGTCCCCGGCAATTTATTGATACTCGCGCAAGAGGGAAGAGAAATTCTCTTTTTACCGGTGTCGAATGTACGCGATGCGTGGTTAATCGATGAAAAAATTGCTGAGCCATATCGAGTATCGAAAGGAGATCCGGTTTTGAGCTGTTGTTTTTTCATAAAGTCCTCTTGCATTACTCATACTGGTTTCTCATCTGACCACAGCGACCCAAAGTGCGTCGTCCGATAATATCCTTGTCTCTTTCCTCCGCTAATTTTCCGCGAATTTTGTGTCTCCATCTCCAGAATTGGGGAAACCAGCGATATCAGCGCCCAAGTGTCGATCCACCTCACTCGTCTGGGTATTATAATCACGTGGTGAACAACTTCACCGGAAGTTGGAATGAAGTGACGTACGGGGGAGACGCAATCACCCGTCACAGGCGTGTGATGAGACTTTTAATCAAGTGGGGACGAGGATTTATCATCCTCAATTTTTTTTTCTCCTTTCAGGATGTCCACGTGTCGTTGTGAATGCGAATGCACGCTTTTTTTTCGTTGACGGTGGTTGCATTCGAGAAAGCACAAATCAATAGGTCCGCAAAACGAGGTCACGAAACGTTATGGTACTTGATTGCAATAGTTACGAATGCTCAACGTGGAAACTCATTGGATAGTGATTTTTGAATGGATTCAATGGCCCTTTGTGTCCGATTGCTTGTCTATTTTTCCATTCCGTTGATTTTTTTTTTATTGCTATTTGATCGTTCGTGAATATCCCCTCGAGAATGAATTGAAAAATGAACTCGATACACCATTGTTTGCCACTCAACCATCAACAACTTGACGATCCGTAATCTGATTTTCCGTGATAAATTAGAAGTCGGAAAATGCCACAGTGGCGCCAGCAAAAATTGATCCGTTAGAAAAATCAGTGCTGCTGACTCATGCTCTTTTAGAAGAGGGCTGGGTCGTATGAATGAATAAAGCAGAGATGTTTTTTCTGTGTCGAAATGTTCCTCGGATCTCCTCTCAAGACCTTCTTCCATATCTCGTCCCACAGCTTGGAGAAAAATACAAGTCACCGGGCGAAATGAAAAGCTTTTCTTCATGTTTTCTTTTGGCTTTCAAGAGGTAATTTCATATTTCTATTCAAACCCGAGGGAAGTTGATTCCAACGGCTTCCTCATTGACACGATTATGACCTGAGTTTCAAGTGAATACGTTTAAAAGCATGAGCAGCTACGAACAAAATCGATAAATATACAATTTTCATTTAAACAGATTGACTCCTCAATAGGGAATAATCGCAGTGAGACAATCTCATTAATTATTTCACAGCGTCGAAAAACAATAAATTTCATGAGATTGCAGTCGTAATTCCCCGACAAATTGACTCGATTCACTTTTAAGGATCAACAACTTAACACTCTGACCTGTTAAAGACAAGAAAATCGATTTTACATTTCCAGACGTCGCGACGACGCGTCTGAGAGCCAGACTCTTGCACTCTCTGTTTGTCCTACGATTCAGGAGTCAAGGAACCCTGGATTATACCTCGAAAAGAGAGGAATTGAACAAACGCTATCAATTCCACTGAGCTCTCCCGATCTACAATATTCTGTTGATGACTTCTGTCAACGGTAATGTGAGCGGAACGAAGAAAAACCCGAGCGGAAGTCAGATAAATTACTTCCCCCTTATACAGGAGGAATGCCTCCCCGAGAATTTCCATAATTCTTTCGTTCTTCTATCGACAATTCCATTCCAATAGTTCCATCCATTCGGGAAAAATCCACCTGAAGCGTTCCTTGAACGTCTGACATTTCCGCTTGGTGCTTAAAATGAATTGGGTCATTGCATAAAATCACAAAGTAGAGCATACACTCTTCCCCATATCTTTGCTCATAGAAACTACAATCCGATGACGCTTCAAGCCTAATGAACTTATACTTCTCTCAGCGATAAAACTGTACTACTTCCGGTGACTCTGGTATATCGACGTGAGTGTAATTATCGATCTCCTGTCAACTGGAACATCATTACTATCACTGGGATGTTATCGGCAGGCGTCAAGTGCTTCAATCACTCGCATGCTGAAATAATTCCAAGTACCTCTTTAAAAAAGAGTTTTCGATTTAAAAAATGATATTACACTGCAGATAGACTCGCCTCAGTTTTCAGGGAACTGGCCAAGTTATTACGAAATTATCTGCACTGCACAGCTGACTGTAAATCAAAGCCCTTTGAAGGAAACCACCTTAGAAAGTGGGTGTGGTCTTCCGGTGGATCAATATAAACTAAAAGAAACCGATGTTTCCACTTTTCAAAAAGTTTCAAATGTCCTCAGTTTTTCATCGAAGCTTTTTGCCACAAGTTGTGTAAAAGTTGCGATAAGTTAAACTCCACATTTTGGGAGTGATGTAAGAGATCTTTCTTGAATGTTCTCCCTAAATTAAATTGTTCTCGTGTTATTCCCACCGTGATAGTATCCTTCCTGCTTTCTTGTTGATGCTCTCCGAGGAATGCCAACGGTCGAGAGCGAGAAGTATCAAGTTCTTCCGGCGAGGTGAAATTTGTGAGAGAGACGTAATTGAAGGGTGTTCGTACCGTCATTATCAGTCGGTTGTTGTGCGCATGCTCGAATTAGATACAACAGCGATCGCCAATCCAATTTGAAATGTGGTGAATGTTCTCACGTTTCGCTCACGACTCCGAGTTGCATCAAATTCTGTGAAATTCTCCTTTTCTCTTTTCTTCTTCACTCCTGGAATGAGAGTAATGCAAAGATACTACTGGAGGAATGTCTAGAAGAGATGTCTATCCCCTTTGACTTTATGAACTCGTTCTCAAAGTTTAATGTCTGAACATCCTGGGGACTTTTACGAATTGGGATGAAGGGACCCAACTATTCGCCACTTTTGAACTCATGACCCTGTGAATATCACCGCTGGGGATTGTATTCAACAACGGAATCGGTAAATACATCGTTAAGGTCCTAGGGTCGTTGGGGTCCCTTCAAATTTGTTTGCATTTCCTGGAGTGGTTGACGATGCTGCTGGACATTCTGCACTTGGCAGAGCATCAAACTTTTAAATACCTTCGGGCGCGCAAATACAGCTATATGCAAACGACAAAGATTTTCGTATGAGGCCAGACAAAAAAGGATTATTTGCATGGGGTTTGAAGGTAAACAGTCTATGACTGTTGCAACCTTTGAATGTTTTCTGAAAGATTAAATTTTTATCATTTCCCTGGGAATATTCTGGTGTGACAGGAAAATATTTTACCCGCTCTCCAAATATTTAAATAGTCTAAAGGGATCGAAGTCGTATCAATAAAAGTGGAGAATAAATTTGAAATTTGTTTCCCCCCAGGCAACTTGTGTACTTGTCATTAGTTTAATTGGTCGATTGGAATTTAATTAAGGTTGTCATTGATTATGGGTTAATGTTCAAAATAAATACATAAATAAAATAAAAATGAGTTCATCCATTAAATTCTGATAACTGAAATCCTGCCTCAAGAATTTCCAAACCAGCCAAATGGTTGTATGCCAAAGGTCACGAGTGCAAGAAACGAGCGAATCCCAGAATTCTTCATGAATAAGATATTGATTTATCGACAAAACGTAAAGAACGAGGGAAAATCCAATATACGATAACAAAAGACAAAATTATACGAGTAGCAGGATAGTTTCTCCAATTCTTTGATACTCATGATATAATATTTCAGCACGATGCCATCTGACAGCATGGACGACATTGAGCTGAAGAACATTCAGCTACAATTTCCAGCACTGAGATATTTGACGAGGGACGACGGCTCTGTCAGGGAGGAGAGAATTGAGACAGATAAGGGTACAATACTGGTTGCTGTACAGGGAAACCGTGCAAAACCTGCCATCCTCACTTATCACGATCTAGGCCTTAACTGTGAGTACAATAATCCACTTTAGTTGGCCAGAAACTTTTCATTCAAACACCTAGACGTCTCCCGAGCTCTAGAATCGAACGAAATTCCCGAAGTACTGGGAATCGAAATTGTCTTCATTCTCCAAGAAGACTACCCTTCCCCCCACCAAATTCCAAAGATAATCCCGCCATCATCCAAGTGCACTTAATCCCAAAAATCTCCATTTCTCAAGTACAAACTTGACCTTGGCTTTTCAGACATCTCGAGCTTCCAGGCATTCTTCAACTACATCGACATGCGAGTACTCCTCGAAAATTTCTGCGTCTATCACGTTAATGCACCAGGTCAAGAGGAGGGAGCACCAATGCTACCAGAAGAGTGAGTCAACCAGTGTTTCATGAATTTTTATAACGAGTTAAGCCGCGATGCAATCCCCGTGCAAGCATGCCCCCAGGATCGTTGGGTTTAATTAACAGGGCATTCGAAAGGGGTAACTGCGACACAAATTACGAGACCTCATTCTATAAAATAACGTAATGACAACTGCACTCAACTCGCCCGTTATCTATTAATTCAGCGCAATGAAGGACAATTTTTCCCACGACCTTGACCATGAGGCATACCAGTCTCTTCCCTAAATTCCCAACTGCATTGCAGATTTGCATGACTTTCGTGATGAACCACCAACAAAAGAATTAAATGGATATGTACTCGCATGCCAAGATTGCTCTCAATAAATTCACTATCGTAAACACAACAGCTCTACCCAGACACATCAATTCCGAACTATCAATATTTTCTCAGCAAATTACCGAATGCCTAGAATCCATGACGTAAAATTAATTAATCATGAATATTGAAATCCCATTAAACTCCCGAGACGCGAATCCGCTCTCCGATTGTACGCATCAGCTATAACAACACGTGAAATTGCATTTCCCCTATGAACAAACTCATTTCAGAATGAAAGTGTGAAGCACGAATCAAGAGAATGAATTTAAATCCACAGTTACGTGTATCCAACGATGGACGAGCTTGCTGAGCAACTGCTGTTTGTGCTTGGACATTATGGATTGAAAACGGTGATTGGTTTTGGCGTAGGCGCCGGTGCTAATATCCTGGCGAGATTTGCACTGGCCCATCCAGAGAAGATTAATGCACTGTGTTTAATAAATTGCGTGTCCACGGTGGCTGGTTGGATCGAGTGGGGTTATCAGAAGCTCAATGTACGTCATCTCCGGTCCCAGGGGATGACACAGGGTGTCCTGGACTATCTCATGTGGCACCACTTTGGCAGAGTGAGTTTAAATCCATTTTGTCGAAGAATTTTGTAACAAAAAGTGACATAATCCAGTTTTCAATGCTTTTACCCTACACGCTCCTCATGGTCATCATAAATTCCCTTTTACGAAGACAAAGCAAAGGGCAGAACTTCATAAAAAATCACGCCTCATAATTCAGTAATGAAGTTCTGTATGACCTAATAAACCTACAAGACACCAGTAATATTACGTCATCATACCCTGCAAAAGCACCCCAACGTTTTGATTCTTCAGGGTTGCATAACACCGAGAAGATCAATACCCAGTACTGGAAAGTGTTTCCAACAAATGGTAACACACGCTTGTTTATGATTAACAGGGAACCGAGGAGAGAAATCATGATCTCGTTCAAGTTTACACTAATTACTTCGAGCGCCGAGTAAATCCATCGAATCTAGCTCTATTCATCGACAGTTACGTACGACGCACTGATTTGAATATCACACGTGAATTGGATCCAACACGCAAAAAGGATGGCAGCACACTTGGCGTACCTGTGATAAATATAACTGGATCCTTGAGCCCTCACGTTGACGATACTGTTACGTTAAATGGACGACTTGATCCCACCAACAGTTCGTGGATGAAGGTATCAGGTTTTTGTCATTAATCATTTTACGGGAATGAGAAAATATGTTTGTGTTGGGGTTTTCGTGATCGTGGAAAGAATGACACTTTTTTTTTTAATTTCTGGGTCAACTGTTAGCAAATTTCCACGCTATTTTCAGTGAAATTTGGAATTTTATGACTTTTTTTCTTCATGAATGCAATTCGAGTTACTAATAAATACCAATTGACCGTGAGAATTTCATTTTTTGCCAATCAACCATTCGAAACTTTCACAGAATCTTTTGCAGTAATTTCTTCTGCTGCAAAATTCAAATCCACTTGAATATTCAAACACAACTTGTGTTCTCTGACAGATTCATTTTTAATGAGCACAACCAAGACGTCAATTTAATTGCACTTTGCTTTCTCCCCAATACCCCAAACATTTTTGCTCATTCACATTCAAGAAGTCATGATATGATTGTTATTATTTTTTGATTTAAAGATATCAGACTGTGGAATGGTACTCGAGGAGCAGCCGGGAAAAGTAAGCGAGGCCTTCCGACTCTTTCTTCAGGGTGAAGGATATGGTAAGTGAGCGTCCGTCGTAATGCCACCCTCATTCGATATAATCGATATCGCTACTGAACGATATTAATCACCGCCAAAGAGACGAAATGAATATATTACAAAATACGAAAAAAAAAAACAAAAATATAGTCATCGACGTTGCGAGTGGGCGCGTTAGCTCGAGCTTAGACATCATTGGTGTATCTGCCGCGTGTCTAACGACGCAGAAAATAATCATAATACACTGTTGGAAAAAACAGAAATTTCATGGACTAGAAATTTTCAAGAGGCGTCATTAAATGCGATTTAGAGGGAAGACATCATAAAATTCAACGAAATTTAAAATTTTTAGGAGTAGGTGGACGAAAATTTCCCAAATTCTCGTGGAATAATTGACAATTTCCATTGATTTTCCCCTTAAATTTGGAATTATCAATGACGAAATTCCCCAAAAGTTCAGTGGAACTATGTGATAAAAATTTCCTCAAACAGTACCAGAAATTTCAGCCAAAAAATTGCAATGGTGTACATGATTAATATCTTTTTTCAATATTTGCTGTGTAATAACTGTTTGTGCCTCGTTGACTGTCACGCGGCAGCCTGATGTTTTCTCATTTCGAATTTTTTCAAGTGAAAAAATTACCAGAACTCTAGAGTTATGCATTTTAATAATTAGCATTAAGTTATTTTCTCTTGCTGAACAATGAATTTTCGGTTGGCCAAGAACAATTTGTACTCTCAACCATTGATAATGGGCCTAAAAACCTAGGGATCGATTATACTCTCTAGTATTAATTGAAAAATTATGAAAGATATGACTGTAATTACAGAGTTTATTCGCCCGTTATTCGCTGGCCTTGTTGCGAAATTTTTTGCACGACTGATGAGTAAACATTTAACAATTTTATTCAGTGTTTTCAGTGTCAATACTGATACGCGAGTGAAAGAATGATAATAATAAATTGAAATGGTACACATGGCAACGGTAGTTAAGGATTCAAATTGAGTCGATACTAATGTTTCCCTAGAGTAAAAGAATTTCTCATTCCATCCTCAAGTGACATTTTATCAAAGTCGTGTCGGTGAATTAAATTAAAAAAAAAAAGAAGAATAATACAATACGAATGATTTAGACAAAAGTTTGTTCTTCAGTTTCGCTTTTTTAGTCACAGAATACACACAATCCTGCACTTGACACCAAAATGAGTATCAATACACGTTGAATAAGCTTCCACCACTTAAACTGATAAAAAGGAATAATAATCCTGATGAATTTAATGAGTACCAGATATAAACAACAGAATTGATACTTCTTATATTCAAATGCTTGTTAAACGTTATTTGACGCGCTCACCAGGCTTGCATCGATTTTATTTCTCTAATGAATGTAGGATAGAAAAAAAGTAAGGAAAAAATATGAATCAAGACTTTGCTATTTCATCGCGCCATTGATGTGCTAGGATTATTATACTATTCACATTCTTATTACTACGATCATTGTCATCAACTACGACTATTATTATTAATTAATGATTAAATAACTTTACTCACCATCATTCTTATGATTCCTGTCATCTTCAACAATGACACTTCCTTTATTTTTCATCAATAAATGAAGACCACTGAATAAATCTATGGAGTAAACAATCACAGACAGAAATACACATGATAACAATCGTATCTAAGTTCACTGTAATAATTTTATTCTCTGAAATGGAGAGATAAAAACAATTTATCAAAAATATAAATGAGAAAGAAATATTTGTTCATCGATTTGCGCCTTTATTTCCCACGCGTCTCGGATCGATCGAGTGGTACGTATGATTAAAGTAAAAAAAAAGAAGAAAAGCACATCAGAAATGAAAATTAAAGTCACGTAGATTGCATTGTTATTTTCATTTTCTGGCTTATTAGCTGGACAATTGCTTATTATTCATTTCATTATTTCCGTTATTCATTGAGTTTGTCACGATTTTTTGAGAGCTCATCGCTCATTAATTTTAATTCCATGCATTAGTCTCATTTTACCAGAAAATCTGCACTTCATGAACATTCATTTGATGAACTTTATGATTTAAAATTATTTCTTTTTTTTTAATTTTTGCGTTTTAGTGGTGAGAAGCCCGCGGAAGCCCGCAATGACGCCAACAACACCCGAAGGTAATTGTAATTAGGAATTGAGGCCAGCAAAAATAAAAGGAGCCGAACAATCGCTGTTGGCCAATTATTAATTGGCCACTTCTAAATTTTAAGTAAGTCGGAAATTATAGTAATAATCGGGACAGTAAGAATTAACAAACTCTTCTTCATCAGTTTCAAATTCGCTAAATCTCATTCTAATTGCGTTGTAGTACTTGGCTTCACTCTCCCATTAACATAATCATAAAATTTTTACTTCATTTGGTAATTGGTTGATTAATCTCATCCAGTATTACGTAATATTTTTACCGACTGAGTTGTAATAAAATCGAGCCCCTGCAATATTTCATCAGATAAACTACCGATTACTGACTGAAGGTAAATGAAAAATAATCCATTCGCTTCATTAAAAAAAATCGTTAATTAATACCGGGAAAAATTGTAATTTGTAGAACTGATTCTTCTTCTCATACATAGCGGCTCTCAAATTTGTGGTAGGAAATTTCTTGTAAAAAATTGTTTTTCTACAATACTTCAAAGCAAACAAAAAATTTTTGATTACTGCACAGTGTAGATTAGAAATGATAACCGAATTACTTCAAATTCACACAATTATTAAAAATTTGAACATAAACAGAGTTGTGACGCACACTAAAAAACACACACACGTTACTTTTCGTTTTACTTTGCATGTGTGCTTGTTTTCAGTTCTTCTATTGAAAAAATAATGATAATGAAAAACCGACGTAAAAATGTACTACTTGATCTCTTGGTTTCACCTTTCATACGGAGAATTCCCATGAAATTGAAACATGTGGTGGCCCGACTGTTAGCGAATTAAATTACAATATACGTAGTGTCAGCAATTTACCAATAAGAATATGAAAAACAAACAGAGTCTTGACTCATTTTCAATTCGTTATTTTCTCTTCAATGAATTTTCAGTGGCTCCACTTTCACCCCTGAAAATGGCAGATTACAGGCTGGCATCCCTCGAGGGCCTCAACCACATCTGCAGCAAGAAGATCGACTGGCCAACAGCCACAATCCACATAACTGAGAATCCCATATCAGAAGCGGTCGTATGTTAAACAATTCCGCAACATTTGTATCACCGAAACTACCAACCGATAGCAAACAAATCCCGACCACAAATTCAAGTTCATTACGTATGAGAGGACCTATCGCTCCAAAACTATCATTTATTCGTGCTGAATTCGATGGAAATTGCGAGAGGGGTGGAATATCGCGTGACTTTTTACAAAAAAAAAAAACGAAAAATACCAAGTTTTATCGGTCGACATTTCCTCGGCGAAGTTTATCGCCCAAAAAAATTTGTTATGTAGTTGACTAAATTGAGAATATATCAGACATCAGAACTGAAGAGCAACGCGAATCATCGAGATGAGAATAAATATCATACCACAAACTGCCGTCGCGAACAAAACTAAAAACATTCACGAGTTCTATGCAGTTTTTTAAGCACATCCTGATCATTGAGTTCTGGTCTCCAATTAATTTAAAAAAAATTAGTGAATAATTGTGCTCGGGACGAGGAGTGCTTCACATCTGCCCGGTCAATAAATTATTGACCAGGTAATAATTATCATTAGTTACATTGATTAAAAATTGAAAAAAAAAGAAGCAAGGGGAAACTGCTCTTGATTTGTATTGTCATCAGAGAAACTGTCGCGCGAAAAATATCATTTATCCACGTTGAATTCGATGGAAATTGTGAGAGTGTGGGATATCGCGTGACTTTTTCCAAAGAAAAACAAAAAATACCATGTTTTATCGGTCGACATTTTCTCGACGAAGTTTATCACCCAAAAAAATTTGTTATGTATTTGACTAAATTGAGAATATATCAGACATCAGAACTGAAGAGCAACGCGAATCATCGAGATGAGAATAAATATCATACCACAAACTGCCGTCGCGAACAAAACTAAAAACATTCACGAGTTCTATGCAGTTTTTTAAGCACATCCTGATCATTGAGTTCTGGTCTCCAATTAATTTAAAAAAAATTAGTGAATAATTCTGCTCGGGACGAGGAGTGCTTCACATCTGCCCGGTCAATAAATTATTGACCAGGTAATAATTATCATTAGTTACATTGATTAAAAATTGAAAAAAAAAGAAGCAAGGGGAAACTGCTCTTGATTTGTATTGTCATCAGAGAAACTGTCGCGCGAAAAATATCATTTATCCACGTTGAATTCGATGGAAATTGTGAGAGTGTGGGATATCGCGTGACTTTTTCCAAAGAAAAACAAAAAATACCATGTTTTATCGGTCGACATTTTCTCGACGAAGTTTATCACCCAAAAAAATTTGTTATGTATTTGACTAAATTGAGAATATATCAGACATCAGAACTGAAGAGCAACGCGAATCATCGAGATGAGAATAAATATCATACCACAAACTGCCGTCGCGAACAAAACTAAAAACATTCACGAGTTCTATGCAGTTTTTTAAGCACATCCTGATCATTGAGTTCTGGTCGCCAATTAATTTTAAAAAAATTAGTGAATAATTCTGCTCGGGACGAGGAGTGCTTCACATCTGCCCGGTCAATAAATTATTGACCAGGTAATAATTATCATTAGTTACATTGATTAAAAATTGAAAAAAAAAGCAAGGGGAAACTGCTCTTGATTTGTATTGTCATCAGAGAAACTGTCGCGCGAAAAATATCATTTATCCACGTTGAATTCGATGGAAATTGTGAGAGTGTGGGATATCGCGTGACTTTTTCCAAAGAAAAACAAAAAATACCATGTTTTATCGGTCGACATTTTCTCGACGAAGTTTATCACCCAAAAAAATTTGTTATGTATTTGACTAAATTGAGAATATATCAGACATCAGAACTGAAGAGCAACGCGAATCATCGAGATGAGAATAAATATCATACCACAAACTGCCGTCGCGAACAAAACTAAAAACATTCACGAGTTCTATGCAGTTTTTTAAGCACATCCTGATGATTGAGTTCTGGTCTCCAATTAAATTAAAAAAAATTAGTGAATAATTCTGCTCGGGATGAGGAGTGCTTCATATCTGCCCGGTCAATAAATTATTGACCAGGTAATAATTATCATTAGTTAAATTGATTAAAAATTAAAAAAAAAGAAACAAAGGAAAACTGCTCGTGATTTGTGCTTGTGCACTCCGCACTATTTGATACTCCGGGCAGTTTTCACCAGATGAATTATCGTTCGAAAATGTGATTTATCCGCGTTGAATTCGATGGAAATTGCGAGAGGGATGGAATATCGCGTGTCTTTTTACAAAGAAAAACAAAAAATATCACGTTTTATCGGTCGACATTTTCTCTATGAACTTTATCACCCAAAAAATTTGTTATGTAGTTGACTAAATGGAGAATATATCAGACATCAGGACTGAAGAGCCACGCGAATCATCGAGATGAGAATAAATATCATACCACAAACTGCCGTCGCGAACAAAAATAAAAAATTTCACGAGTCCTATACAGTTTTTTTAAGCACAACCTGATCATTGAGTTCTGGCCTACGGTTGTTTAAACAAAATAGTGAATAATTCTGCTCGGGATGAGGCGTGCTTCATATCTACTCGGTCAATAAATTATTGACCAGGTAATAATTATCATTAGTTACATTGATTAACACTTTTAAAAAAGAAACAAAGGAAAACTGCTCTTGATTTGTGCTTGTGCACTCTGCACTATTCGAGACCCCGGGCAGTTTTCACGAGACTAGTAAGAATGCCGATAATTAGATAGGGATACGTAAAATAAAGTGGATGGACAACCTATGAATAAACAAAATGGTTTGGTAAGTTCCCATATGGTTTTGCCATTCCCCCAAGCCTTTAGCGTGATATTATAAGACGTGCCTGCATCGAATTGTGAAGAAAACAAAATATGTAGCTTAAAAAAAAAGAAAGAACTTAACGGCCTTTTAGTTTTCTATTAAATATTATCCCCGGGGCGTTCCACGAATTATATTGTTTCTCGTTCGTCCTTCTAATTCTGCTGGCACGAGGTGCCTAATGAAGAATCACTATCCGATATGTTTCATCCAAATAAAAAGAAAGAACAAAAGAAATGTAAAAACGGTGTAAGACGATATTTTAAAGGAAAAAATTTGTTGACGAGGCAGAAGGAAAGACTACGAACACGACTACGAACGAAAGAAAAATAATGAGGAGTGTTACTAAGGGACAGCTGATAGATTATAGCTGAAATACTCGCTGCTAAAAAAAAACAATTAAACATGAGAAAAAAAATATGCAAAAAGCTTTCCGGCGCAGTTGCGTAATTATTTAAATGAGGTGCGCCATTGGGCGTTGAGTGCCGGTTCTTAGCTGCCACATGAGCGGAAAAAAACGTTTAACGTGAAACGAGAAAAAGAGGCTAACAAATGACAAAAATTTCATAGTCAGTAGCGATGTATCTTTGACTATAATTAAGAACAAATGATGGGTCAACAAGTTAATTGACGATTATAGATGGAGCTTTAGTATTTAAATGAAGAAGTAAGTTAACGACACGCGTACGCACCGATATACATCTTGTTATTTATAATAAACGTATATAAAAAGAATCTGTGGGTTGTTCATTTACTCCATTTCATTGTCATTTTTCTTCTTCATATATTGTTTTTTTGTATTTTTAGCTGAATTTTATGATTTTTTTTCAAGTTTTGGCTGAAATTTTATGATTGTTATCACCCACAGATAAATTGAATTCAATGTAGTTCTTCAGAAAATTACTAGTCTGCCCATGAAGTTTCTATTATTTTCGAACTCAGTAATTAAAACTTTGAGGATCTGAATTCTATTTAATTTTAAAAATCAGTTCTGCGTATATTTTTGTAAATTCAATGAATAATTTATCACCAAAACTCAAGAAAAAAATTAAAATTCAACAGAAATACTATCATACTGAGCACAGTAATTGCATTTTCCACTAGAATTCATGAGGAAATTTTAATAAAAACTCCATGTGACAAATGTCAACCCTAAACCGGAAACAAGTTAAAGCTGAGGGTTGTTCATTTCCTCCAATTCCTTCTTACTTTTCTTTTTCGAGAATTTTATGCTTTTTTCAAGTTTTGGCTGAAATTTCATGATTCTTCTCCCGCTAAATTGAATTCAATGGCACTCTTCAGAAAATTACTAGTTAACTCTTCATGAAATTTCTATCCTTTTCTCACAATGTAATTAAAACTTTGAAGATCTGAATTAAATTATCCATTCTATTAAATTTTGAAATTCAGTTCTGTGTATTTTTGAAAATTCAATAAATGATATCTCGCCAAAACTCAAGAAAAAAATAATAATTCCACAGAAATATTATCATATTCAGCAAGTTATTGCATTTTTTACTAGAATTCAGGGGGGAAACGGCATAAAAACTGCTCTCCATGTGACAAATGTCAACCCTAAACCGAAAACAAGTTCAAGAGATCCTGAAAGTCTGTGGGAATTGCGAGTCAGTGCACGATTGAAAATAAAACGAGTGAACAAATTTCGGGGGCGATGGAATGGAGACATCTGCGAGGCTCATTGTGGGACTTGAGAGCAGTGATGTGGACATGTTGTATCATTTAAAACAGAATCAATTTAAAAAATCCAACAACACAGATAAATCATGCCCTCCGCCTCAGATCTCATCTCGGAATAAATCGAAAATCAATCGCAGATTGGAATTGAAAAAATTCCTTGTCCTACTAGATAGCTCGGAACGTCAGAATTCCCCCGAAAAAAACCATTCATTAATTGCTGTGGAGCAAGAAACAGAAGCTCCTCGTGTGCATTGCCAATAATTCAGAAAATTCCTTGTCATTATAACTTTGCAACATACCACGGTTTTTCTCCACCACCGATGGACTTGGAATGGAAAAGTTGTGGATATAGATGAGGGCCTTGGCGCCAACTAACCCCTATCAGCTTTTTTCACAAGCCATGGGTCTCCTCTGCATGCGTCCAACAACACCGGTTCGTGTGGCTGTACCGAGGAAAACCAGTCTCAGTCTCGAGGATAAAGAAAAGACGAGGCTTCTCTCTTTCTTTTTTCAAGAATTCACTTCGCGGAATCCAAATACGATCGTACCCGCACTTTTTAGGGCGGTTCTACACAGAACGAAAAAATAGAACACATGAGAACAAATGACGACGCCAACAATCCGTTCGATCGCTCAACACAGTAATATTTCCCACCCAATGAATTTTTGTTTGGAGAATTCGGCACAAAGAATTGACTAAGAGCGCACAAAGGTAAATGTCCTTCAGAATTCAGCCCTAAATTACTAGATCAGAATGTTTCTCAGTGTAAGAAAACCGAACCATCTTCAATCGTCAATACCTCCGAACCAAACGTTGCGATTTGAATGAATGAGGTGTCATCTAAAACTCTGAAAAAATATCTTCAAAATGAGAGAAAAATCCTGAAATTCCACTCTACCGTTCTCGAGTTATCGTCGATGAAAAGCGGTCCGGTTTGCTCCACTCTAAACGCACACGTAATTGATCGAGATATGGAAATGATCCTTTACAAACGGCATGAACCATCTCAAAACAGAATAAAGGCCGGCAAGTTATGTCCGTAGAAGCGCCTCGGAGGCCACAACAACTCAATTGTTTGTTTGTTGCCAATTCTAACCTCGAAATAATCAATAAACCCGTTGATTTATCAGCAATAAACATTGATGACTGCATAAATGCCCGAATAATCCTTGGAATAATGAGAGAAATGAAGGTTTACTCACGCACCTCAACTGCAGAATGCCCCTAAAGGCAGGTCCTCGGGGATCCTCGGTAGAAATCGCGCAGCGCTCCGCCACCTGTTGCCCGCCCGCCGAAACTCCTTAGCCACTGACAGGACGCGCCGTATTCTCCACTCGACCAGCGTGGGAGTAGGTACGCGCGCGTGTGCGACGCACACCATCGAAAAAAAACCCGGGAATTTCTCCATAATCCTCTCGCGATCACAAACACTGCACAAATACATTACAAACGACCGAGTGATGGAGGCAAAGAGTGAAAACATTAGATGAATTGAGAAATACCTAAGAAACTAAACACCTGACAGTTGAATAAAGCAAAGTGAAACGTTAACGAGTGTTCAAGATAATTAATTAGTGGGATAAGTTCCTTGTGAGTAGTGATATGCATTGTCTATTGTGGATATAGGTCTCTGGTGGAGACGAGATTGAAAAATAACCCGTAATGATGGCGAGGGCCGGGGTGTTTTGGATTTTCCTCATACTTCTGGAGTTCGGGGTGCATGCAGACGTGATAGAGGAGAGAGGTGAGTGTTTTCTTCTCCAATAATGTTGGACAGGGGAGGGTGGGTAAAATGGACACTTGACTTTTTTAAAAATATTCATAACTCAGAAACAGAGTTATCAGTTGGGCTCAGTCTAAGCTCATCACAAAGAGGAATCATTGTTCTTTCAGTTGAAAAATAAAATTATTCCATGTCATGATCAATTCAACACGTCATGAGAATTTTAAAAAAGTCAAAAATGTCCATTTCAATTGTCCATTTGAATCTTGAATTCACAGTTTTTTTGAGGGCTTAAGGGCCAAACAATCGTGTGAGCAATTGCTCATTTGTCTGAAAAATTTCTCTGGCATATTCTTCGCAAGCTTCAGCTTCATCACTTTGATTATGTTGATCGAGTGGATTGTTTATCATTCGACATTCGTCGCAGCAAAAATACTTGAGACGCTGGCTGATAAGTCTAGTCGGTGATTCGAGATAAGGTTATTCTTATTTGATTGGAACAACTTCTTCGGTTACTCTGATACAGGTTGAAGATGTTTGTGTTTTGAGAGGTGACAGTTATAAGGTTTTTTGTCAATTAGAAGCGGATTTATGAATGGGAATGACTTAAAAAATTATTGTTTACGTTTGGGAACAAAGACCCTCGCGGTGGGGCACTCACCCATCGGTTTAATTTTTTTATATTTTTTGTGGGAGTCAATTGTGAGTGAGAAATTATGTCTGGACCGAGTTTTGTGTTTGTAAACGATTTGTTTTGGAGCACAACACATTGCTAATTAATTATTGTTTAGTTTTGTGGGTTTATTAATCGGAAAATAAAGGGAATTCGGGGTTATTCAAATGGAGTTTCTCTGTTACTGGGTAACATGGGTTAAATATATCTTGTTAAGTGGTTAATTAGGGCTTTAATAAGATCAGCTCCTTGAGAGCCACGAGTGAGAATTCAGAGCAGACTTGTCACATGCTCGGTTAGATTGAAGGAGTTTAAACTGACGATACAGTGGATTTTTTACCCGCAATTCTGTTCATTGTAGAGTATCTTCACTCGACGTTTCTCTTGTACTGCCTCTAGCTGTATTTTATAACTCTTGCGCCATGTCAGGGGGTGAATTTAATTAAAATTCTTTCGTGGGGGGAGGGAGGAGGGGCAAAAAATTTTGTTTCTTCTGTTCTGTTATATTTCGTTGGAAATGGTTCATGAAGAAACATCTTTGTGTGCCTTTTCCCGGGCGGTTCTACTCCACCGAGGAAAGGCGCTGAGGAGCGGTGGCCAGCCAAGCATAAAGTAAAAGACAGAATGTCTATAAAACTCGGGTATAAGAAACCATTGGGCTCGGGTTTTCCATGGAGTTCGGGACGTGTTAAGAAGATGCACATTCTAGTTATTTTATTTTTCACTTCTTCAAGGGTTGAGCAAAAAATGCGCATTATTCTTACATTTTCATGGCTTCAATAAAAAAAACTGCATAGGAATTTCTTAATGCAAATTACCTGACTCTTCGTGTTTTTTGGCTTTAGTTGTTCATTTTATTGTTGTCGTTGGTTAGTTTCTCCTAGAATGAAGAAAAAAGGTTGAAGAATATTCCGACATTTTCATTGATTCAATAAAAGCAAGTGATTTATCTTTAGTTGTCAATTTTCTTGTTGTCGTTTGGTGATTTCATTGAATATTCTGAGAATTCAATGTGTTTCAATAAAAAAAAGTCTAAGATGAATTCTTGATGCAAATGACTCAACACTTGTTAATGTCCTCCAGTTATTAATTTTCTTGTTGTCATGGAATGAAGAATAACAAAAAGATAGTCTCTGGTATGCAAGATACGTCACAAGAAGTAAACCGTGGCCGATGAGCGAGGTGAATGCATGGTCTCTCGGCCGTGATTGCTGTCGCTGTGGATAGATAGCTCAATTGCTCATACAATTCTAAAGTGCATTGGTGATAAGTCACGACATCGCCACTGTCTAATACCCTCGACCAAAAATTAATCAAGTTTATTCTCAATGGAATAAAAAATTCACTCATCAGAGGGACGATTAACGAGGGTAATTATGATGCATTGGGGAAATGTTACCAGGAAATGATTTGGAATTGATGATTTGCGGGCTGTAAGATGCGTCATCTGTCGGGTATCGTCATCAGGAATGGTTCAAGTGGTGTTGACCCGGCTGTGTCGTTACAATTTCCCATTGACGGTCAGCCTTGGATCGTTTCGTGGGAACTTCATTAGGAATTGATCGATCATCTTGAATTCTGGGTGAAAGAAAATTGTGGGAATCAATTAGGGTCATCAAGTCCAATCATCTCATTACAAT